TGTTGTACCTAGGTTAGATGTGTACTTGTGCACATCTTCATCACATACAAATTTGTCTCCTGGACGCAAAGATGACTAGGTACCAGATGACTGGGGTAAATATGATTAGTTTTGATTGTAACGTAGAAATTTATATCTGAATCAGATTTAAATGTGCACAAGGACACATAACCGTAACCTACGCAGAGAAATTGTCCTTTCCCATATAGTGTGCGCGTAGACATCATGGGAGGAATGCACAATAATAGCATGGCCATTTTGACCCGAGGGGGCAAGAACTCTGGGAATCATGTGTACACCTGCCTGGGAATCATCACGATAAAAATTGGTCGAAATCAACAGAAATCGCTTAAACTGAGCAGGAAACTAGCAGAACTGGTACAAATAAGTCGAAATAAGCGTTTTCTACCACTAGAAGACCAGAGAAATAAATATAAGCGGGCGGGAATCACTGGGAATCAAGTATTTCGGGAATCATGTGTACACTTCAAAAGGGAGTTATTGCCCTCGTTTTGACCAGTTTCGTTCTGTCTCTCGCACCAAGACCCCCAGCACAAGAGCATGCATACAAAGCTTGTATTAGACCAATGAAAACATCGAGAGGCCCCCAGCGAAGACCTGAGAAGGGAATAGCTCTGATTGCGGAATGGCAAGGGGTTAGGGTTAGGAGGAGAGAGAGAGAGAGAGAAACTAGGGACAAGAGGGCAGCCTGACGGACGGGTATGGATGGGGGCGTGGGGAGGTGGGGTGAGGGCGTCAAGGACTCGGCGCACCGCCACCTGGGGCCGCGCTGAGGGGTAGCGGGCACCAATTAGGGTATACGGGCTAATAGGAGAAGGGCGAAGGGGTTGCGGGCGCCGCGACGTGCCCGGCCCAGGTGGCAGCAGGCCACCCCTCGCGCCGCCCCCTGGAGGAGCCCGTGCCGGCGCTACACACTGCACAAGGTCAGAGGCGGGGATGCACATGGCGGCGCGGAGGGGACGACACCGAGCCAGCGTGACCATGTCTCACAAACACAAAAACAG